CTTTTAGCCTCTTTTTCATTTACCATAATTTGGATAAAAATGACATTAAATCGTTATATTCCCCTAAGTAGAGTACCAGATGAAATATTGGATACCTAGTCACATGTGAATTTCCGACAAATGATAAATACCTTTTGTTCCGTCCATTCAATATTTGGAATATACTTACACTAAAAAACTGCTCATTGTTTATCTGAAACTCAAATTTACCTAAGCAACCCGTGTTTTTCTTGATATCTCTGACAGCCCTATTACTGATGCAAGTTTCCCAGGAAGAAATCTGAAGCCCCCAGTACAGTTCATGATCGAAGACACAGTTTCAATTCACACCCAGAAGTTAGCTTTACATCACCCAGAGTACACGTGCCTCCCCTGGCTCTCAGCCAGTTGCAGTCTGCCGCACAGAGCCCCGGCACTCCCTAGAGATGCCTTTTGTCGTGATCACCAATGGGTTCCATGTTGATGGATCCAATGGTCCCAGATTTGTCCCCAGGACCATTCACCAGTTTTGTCCTTCTCTTCCTTGAAAGAGTCTCTAACTTCCGGGACCTCTTCGTCTATCCTGGCTTTCTACCCATCCAGCTGCTAATTCTCACCTCTCATCTTCTCTGCCACATCCTTCATTTCTAAATTCAAACTGGGGGTTCCCCTGGCTTTATACACGCTCCCCCTTTTCCCGTCTAATGCAACGCCGTCCAAAGGAAGTTTCTGAGGAGGGAAGTGGTCTCTACCTGTGCTATCCACCACCGTGGTTGCCACCAGCTACAAATAGCTGCTGAATGCTTGAAATGTAACCAGTATGACTCAGGAACTGAATTTTAAATTTTGATTAATTAATTTCTATTGGGATGTATGGCCAGTGGCCACCTCAATGGACAGCACAACTCTTGACTATTGTACTAAGTGAGCTATTCCTGGGTTTAAAAACCAGTTCTATGTTTATGGTTTCCTGATTTTTTTTTTTTTTTTTTTTTGGTGGTGGTACTAGAGATTGAACCCAGGGCTTTCTCACTGAGTTATATCCCCTAGCTCCAGGGTTATATCTACCCGATAACATGGATGAGTCACAAACACTCAGAGACCATACATTAATAGTTCTTTTCTCAGCTGCTACTACTTCAGAGTACAGTACTACCAGCCATTCAGTTTGCTGAAGCCCACAACTAAGTCACTCTTATTTCCTTCCCTCTTCCTTACTATCCCACATCTAAGCCACAAATAAGTTCTATCTCCAGATGACATTTGGAATCTGTCCCCTTCCATCCAACTCCACTGCTACTCTTTAGTCCATACCATCAACATTTCTTGCCTTGGTTACTTGGTCTACTCCTCAAAGCCAGCTTCAATCCATTATCTACACAGCAACAGGCTTTGAGAAGTCAAAACCTCAACTGCATCATGCCCATTTCCTGCTTAAAATGATTTGGTGTTTTGCCGTTGCTCTTGAAATAAAATCGGAATTCCTTCTCCTGGGATGGATGGCTCTGGGCCCTGGTATCGATTCCAACCAGTTTTGCACTTTCCCCTTGTGCTTTGTGCCCTTGTCCTGTGGACTGCACACAGGCTCTGCTGCCTTGTCTCCCACCGGCATTTTCTCATCCTGCAGTTCTTCACCCTCACTTGGCAGGGAGCTCCTCTCTAGCTGCTTTATCCAAATAGGCCCGTTTCCCTTTGCTTACCATCAGCTCAGCATGTTTTCTCAGACTTTGGGCTCTTCTGACTTGGAATCAGTTTCCTTATTACCTCCTTACCCCAGAGTGGCCCACCAGTCTCAAAGCTCTGAGAGCAGTGATATCTGTTTAACTCCCCTTTATACATTAGCACATCATTATTCATAGCAGGGGCTCAATAAATATTTGTTAAATGAATGACTAAATGAAATAGCTAATGACTCCATTTATAGGTGGAGTGATACAGTCATCCCTTGGTATCTTTGGAAGATTTATTTCAGGACCATCCACCTGAAGAGATACTAAATCTACTGATGCTCAAGTCCCTTTTATAAAACGTCCTAGTGTCTGAACACAACTGATGCACATCCTCCTGTATGCCTTAAATCATCTCTAGACAGCTCGTAATGCAATGCAATATAAATGCTATATAATAATTGTTCTATTCTATTGTTTAGGGACTAACAGCAAGAATAATGTCTAATTGTCTAAGATCAAGTCTAGGGAAAAATGTCTATGGCTGTTCAGGACAGAGAGAAAGGAAATTCACAGATACAGCATACCTTAAAGACATTGCTTTTAAAAAATCCTGATTTAAAATTTGTACTTAAACAACACCAAATAGATGGCTTGGCTCCTGCCAGCCAGGACTGCTTACACTAATGAAGCTTCCAGTTGGGTCTGGCAGGTCTCTCAGCCTTAGTTGTGGACTGGAATCATTGGGAAAAGCTTTACGCTCCACTGATGGCTGGACCTCCCCTGCAGAGAGTCGGACTTACGTGGTCTGAGGAGCATTCTGGACACTGGGATGCTCAAAGCTGCCCTGTGATTCTCACGTGTTGCTAAGGCTTTGGTGCCATAGAGGAAGGGAGAACCATGGTGGGAGGATGTGGTGCAGTGAGACCCCATGTTTTAAACCATTGCGTCAGCCATGAATTCTACTTGCAATGATGAAAACTATTCCTCAGCGGTTTAGGCCAGTGCTTTGAGGTTCTTCTGCAAAGAATATCAGGCTTTCTCAAGACCATGACTACTGAGGAGGAGGGAAGAGGGCCTGTCCGTGAATAACCTATGTTTCTGACTGGTGTCCCCAGGCACTGGGGCGTCTCCCCTGGGGAATCTGCCTAGCACAGTGTCAGCTCTCCCTGGCCTCACCTCTCACCTCATCCTCCTCGGCTCCCAGCAGCTGATGTCCTCTGGGTCTAGCTTCCAGCTGGGCTCCTCCCAGTTCCCGAGCTGATCAGAACAAAATAGGTCACCAGCCTCAGTACCCTCAAGCTTGGCATATTGGAAAGCCAATTAATTATCAGATAGTTATTATTAATAATCAGCAATCATAATAACTAATATTATCAATAACTCGACGGGCCCTATGTGTTCCCCATTTCCACTCATTTTGCACAAAACTCTTCACTCCTTCATGGTTCAGGATTTTGGAGACAAACAGTGCCATCCTCCACTGGTCCAGTTTGCAAGCCCGGTTCTATGCTGTGCGACATCCAGCCCTGCATCCAGGCTGCTTGGAGGACAGTGTAGCTGGGGTTCGCTCTCTCTTCTCCCGTCTGTCCTGACATCGACTCTGCACAGCCTGGCTCCCGAGTATGGCCCAGCAGACTGCTCCTGGCTTAGTTAAGCTTTCAGATGCCAACTCACACCTGAGCTTTCTTCCCGTTGGCTTCTGGATTGCAGCTGACTGTCACCATCATTTACTCTTTCCAGCTGGGCCAGTTCCTTCTGGCCCCTGGTCCCTTGCTCTTGGCCAGCGTGTCTCGACCTTCAGTAGTTCTCAAACCACCTTCTCGACTCTCGTCGTTTCCTTGCAGCACTTGCACTGATATTTGCTTAATGTTTTTGCTTAAGTTGCCTTGATTTCAAACAAAAACAAAACTCTTTTCCTTTGGACAGAAATACCCTGAAATTATAGATTGCTAAGTTACTTTTATTTCCCTACTATACATTAAAATGAATGCATCAGTATTAAATAAAATAGTTGTGTGTGGTCTAGATTTATACAGTACCGAAGGGGTCCCTTGTACCACAGTTTGGGAAATGCTTGCCTCAGGCTTCTAACCCATGTCTGCTAACCCATGTCTTCATCTCAAGCCCTTCCCACCCATCCTGCACACACACCCTGAGGAGTCATAGTCCTTGCTACTCCATGCCATGTCCAATGCTTCAGTGGAATTCATTAATAAACGACAGTCACTAAAGTCACTAAAGCTAATATAATGTGTGGGGTAAGAATACAACCTGGATTCAAATCCCAGGTCTCTCACCTGCTGTGTAGTTTTCCCCCCTCTCTCAGATAGCTCAGGGTGCACAGTGAGATGAAAGAAACTATTATAATTTCAGGGCTTAGAACAGTGTCTGCACATGGTAAGTGCTGTATAAAGTTAATTATTATAAATTGTGAGCGTGGACAATGAAAGTCTAAAGAAAAAAGTAGTCATGAGTGTACTGGACATCCTTTCTTTTGAGAAAAGTTGGCTAAGGAATCAATCCTGGCTTAATCCTATGGGAATTTCTGCATTTATTACTTCATGATATTAGGGTTTTGTGACTCAGGTGGCCTATATAGAGCAAGCAGTGATTTAAAATGGCATCTGACTTACTGCAATTCAGTTATTCAAATTGGGCTCTGTATGCAAATTTGAGAATAATACTTCTTTCCCGTCCATTCTCAAAAATTTATGTCTGGGCCAGGGATTTAGTTCAGTGGCACAGCACCTTCCTGGCAAGCTCAAGGTCCTGAGTTCGAGCCTCAGTACCAGAAAAAAAAATTACTTTTTACACTGGAACCTCAAATTATGACTGGCCTGAGCATACAAACAACTTGGGTTAATTAGGCTAATGGAAGAGTCATGTGCCTCTCATTATCTGTAGCATGTACCCAGGTAAACATGTATATCTTAGCTGTACTGACTTACAACTAACTTGAGTTACAATCAGCCCTTGGGAACTGATGGAGTTTGTAAGTCACGGGTCCACTGTATTATCACTACTTCAAAACTGAGGATTTTCATTAAGTATTGGGAGCACTGCAAACGTACATTGTGTACACATTTTTAAAGTGCTGGGAATTAAATGGGGAACATGCTAAGCAAATGCTTTAACCCTGAGCCACAACCCTAAGCCTCATACCAATGACTAGAGGCTTTTTATTATGATGGTGTGCAATAACAGATCTTTTCAAAATAAACTATAAAGCTGTCAAGCTATTTAATAAGTTTTAATATTTAATAAGCTTTCCAGATGACAATATGAACAATATTTCTTCCTATTGTTTAAAAATAATTCAAGCATCAGTTACAAGACTTTAAAATATCTTTATTACATTAAATTGAACACTATTAATTACATTTATGAAGAATGACAAAGAGTAAAGTTGTATAGTATTTGAACAAAATATCTCAATTCTAATTTTAAAGCCCAATCACAAAAAATATTTAGTACAATAGCAATCTACTCAATATACATCATCAGTAGGCTGTCTCTGTTATGAAGGCCATCATGTTTGTGGTGTCGCATGCCTGCAATTCCAACACTTTGGGAAGCTGAAGCAGGAGGACTGCAAGTTTTAATCCCACCTGAGAAATTTAGCAGGGAGCCCGTCTCAAAATAAAAAGGGCTGAGGATGTACCTCAGTGTAAAGGCTATGAGTTCAATCCCCACTGCTGGGAAAAAAAAAAAAAAAAGGATTCAGCTAATTAATAAAACTACAATTCTTTAAAAAATTGTACTTTACCATTGCCAATGATTTTTTAAAGATACACTTTGGAGATAAAATTATCAAAATTACTTTCTGAGGACATGTTAAAAGGTTCTTAAGCTAAACAAAAATATTATGAAATGACTCTGGGTATAAAATTGTAGCAATTTCTTCCTGAAGTTATTTAGCCAGCTTCTAATAGCTGTATGAGGTCCAATGGGAAAGGCACTGAACAAGAACCAGGAACCTTGATTTCTCCTACAGCAAATATGCTGAGTGAAGTTAGGCCATTATTTTTAACCTTCCTGATCTCCAGTTTATTTGTTCATTTGAGAGATCAAACCTACTTCTATGCACTATAGCCAGTTCCAGGATGCTGAACCACATTTCTCAAAGCTATCAAAAATTTCCAGCAGATAATTCCCTCAGCTAAAAAATATTTTTTACTACTCTCTGTATTTCTTTGCACACAGGCTGAATCTCCCAACCCAGCTATTTTGCATTTCGCCTCCTGCCTGCACACCAATATCACTGTGTGATCAGGGATGTCATTCAGAAGTCCTCACTGTCGTAACCAAAGAGCAGACCCACCCTGTCTGAGAAACTGATCTCAGATCCCAGCCCAGGAAGACACATATCCCAGGGATTTGCTCCGTCCATCCTGGAGGGAGCTGCCTCTTGAGGAAAAGCCACAGCGGGTCTGTTGGCCCAGAAATCCCCTGGAATTTTCAGACTTGTCCTCCCCATGGGAGAGGCTGCTCTGGGGACTGCAGATGGGGGGTCCAAGAGTTCTGGACAGATGGACACGGGGCCATTTTCAGAAGGGAAGCTGCAGCTGGAAAGGCTACTGTCCTCCTGCACATCACTGCTATGTTTCAGCGCGGGGCCCTGGTAGGCCTGGTAGGACACTTTGGTAGTGGTGGTGATTACCGTCTGCAGGGCTGGGCCACCTGCAGAGGGCGTCACCAGGTACCTGCAGGGAAGCTCGGGGTTGTAATAAGGGCACCTGGTGGTGGCCTGGAGCTGTCCATGCTCAGTCCTCTCCTCCAGGCCCAGTTTTCCAAGGCCTGGTTTCCAGCCACACTGTTTACTGGTGAAGTCAAAGCTGCTCTCATAGCTGCTGTAGGAATTGACGTTATATTGCAGTGCATTCAGATGAACCCAGTCTGTGTCACTTGGAATGCTGGAGGAATCTTTATAAAGGGTGGGATATGCGCTTGGACTTGTGTATCCAGGGCCTGCCAAGTCATAGCTGTAAGGTGGCCTGGGCAAATAAATGCTTGGGTTTGGATATTTCTGGAAGGAGGATGTGATGTGTCCTTGAAAGGTGGCCAGATCACAGGGAGCTGTGTAAATGTCCGAGTTTAGGAAGGAAGGGCAAGTCTGCCCTGGACTAGAGAAGCTGGTGTCAGGAATTACATCAAACAGTTGCAGATTTTCCAGGAGCGATGTATTGTTGAACTGTCCGCTGCTCTCTTGATTCTCTCCCACCTAAAAAGATGGGACAAATACAGACATAGGATATGCAAATGGTGTGAGCATTCTCAAACACACCGACAGCCAACCATGTAAGTAGCAAATTTCCAGTGGGTGGGCTCTGTGTTGCAGGCAATGTTCTGCCAAGGCACGAGATTCTGGCCTGTGGTCCAGAAGTAGCTAAGCTTGAGCTCCCTCAGGTGTGAATATCACACCCTGAATGAGGAAGGCCCAAGGTAGCCAGGCAGGCTGGGTGTGGGTGACTGTGGTTCTGTTCTCACCCATGAGAGGGGAGGCTTAGGAGCTACACAGAGCGTCTCCAAATCCTGACTCTATTCTTCACCAAAGGAACAAGTAACTCATTCTCTCTGGGCCTCAGATACCTTGTTCTAAATATAGGGCTTCAGTATAGTGATGGCACCACAGAGTTTCTGTGACCATAGGGTTGCTGCAACCATTAGATGTCTGAATTCTTAGATCAGTGCCTGCTACATGCAGGTGCTCAGCAAGGTCCATGTCTATCATGCTCACACTAATACTGCCTGCCAGCCATGCTTTAGTGGAATAGGAACACTGGATCAAGATACCCAAAGAAATTTTATCAGTTCCTGTGCAGCAATGTTGCTATAGTTTGGATCTGGAACGTCCCCCAAAGGCCCAGGTGTTGTAGGCTTGTTCCCCCAGTGGCACTATTTGGAAGTGGTAGAGAAGGAGGTGAGTCCTAGTGGGAATTTTTAGGTCATTGTGGGCATGGTGTTAGAGTGGATACTGGAACCGAGGCCCCTTCTCTCTTTTTCTCTTTGGCTTCTGACCGTGAGATGAGCAGCTTCCTCTACTACGCACTCCTCTCCAATGTGCTGCCTCACCCATAGGCCCAAAAGCAACAGGCCACCAACCACGGACTGAAACCTCTAAAACTGTGAGCCGAAACAAGCCTTTCTATTTTGAGTTGCATACCTCAGGTATTTTCTCATAGTAATGGAAAGCTAACACAAATGAAAAGGATCCTCTCAAGGATGCCTCATTCACTCACTGTGGGTATGCACATAGAGCACCGGTGGCAAACCTTTTAGAGACTGAGTGCCCAAACTGCATCCCAAAACCCATTTATTTACCACAAAGTGCCAACACTGCAATTAAACCTAAATACTAAGGTTTTAGTTTAGAAAAAAAACCACTGTTATCCGATGCTCAGCTGCTGGGGTGACTTGGCTTGTGTGCCAGCGGAGAGGGCTCTGTGTGCGTGCTGTGGCGCATGTGCCATTGTTCCATCACCACTGACATAGTAATGTCTCCTTATCCACAGTTGTGCTTTTTGAAGTTTCAATTATGCATGGTCAACTAAGTCCAAAAACATGAAATGGAAAATTCCAGAAATAAACAATTTATATTTTTAAGTAACTAATTATAGTACATTTGAGTATTTTTATTATTAGTTATTGTTGTTAATCTTTTGCTGAGCCTAGTCTATAAATTAAACTGTTATAGGTATATATGTGTAGGAAAAACAGTACATACAGGGTTTGGTACCACTTATAGTTTCAGGTAGGCATTCATGGGGTGGAGGTTTGAACATAACCCCAAGGATAAAGGTGCTCTACTGTATTTCTTTCTTTATTAGCTGGATAATCATGTTTTTATCAACATAGCAGCACATCCTGACTATATCATTGCCTGAAAGGGTTGTTTGCTTTATTTAAAGAAGAGATTAGACCCTACCCAAATGTTGACTAAATGACATTTTTCTAGAGGTGTATAATTTTCACATAAAATGAAACCCTTGTAAATTAATATTTATAAGTATATTTCAATCATTTCATATTTCAATTAATTACAAGTGTATCTCACAATGCAAATGAACACAGATTACACCGTGCAACATCAGCTCCCCATTACCTCGGGTTCCCGAGCTCTCCTTTTCTGGGCCTGGTAAAACGAGGCCATCTGTCTCTTGAGGGCGCTTCTTCTAGCTTCTGTCTCTGACTTACTCTCTGGTCTTGGGTGATCGTGAACCCCCTTGGCCTGTGTCAGTGAAGAAATGAAGTATCTTTGTTCCTCTGAAGGAAGCTGGCTATGTTGGAAGCCAGTCAAAACTTCATCATGCCTTTCCCAAGACCCAAGGTGTTTATTTCGTTTTTTTCAAAATGATAGAAAAAAATTCTTGAAGATAAAACATCATCAATAACAGACACCCTAAGAGATGATCTGCAATAAGCTATTAAATAAACTGTGACTTGGTTCCCTGCATGCGACCCTTGGACACTGCATAAACGAATGCGTGGGAATCTAGAGTTCCTGGCTGCTGCACCCCCCATTTTTGGCCATGGCCGCTGTATTAAGTTTAAACCGGGGGTCCCAAAGCAGATGGTAGGTGGCTGGCCCCATGGTACGATGAAAATATCCACCCCAAGCTCCTACCTGAAAAAATATCGCGCTGCCATCAAGGCGCCAGAAATTGGTGACCGGATATCCGCTGTGCCCTCGGCAAGGAATCAACTCCAAAGCAGACTGACAGTTGGGACAAATCTTCTCTGCAAACCCCAGAGGCAGAGATATTAGTAACAACCCGGGCAGGGATGGTAAGGCAGCGCCAGGCCACCCCTCCAGGGGCGCACGCACTCTGCTGCTTGAGCCGCGCCTTGTCGCAGATGGCCGGGCGCAGCTGCAGGCGCGAGCCATCGGGCAGGGCGCAGGCCCGGGCGCACACCACCACGCCCAGGCACGACTTCTTCAGGATGTGGCCGTTGTGGTTGTTGGTGTTGCGCATGGCCCAGCCGCTCAGGTGGCGCTGCGCCTTCTTCTCCGCGCTGCTGTAGATGAAGCGCACGTAGCCGTCGGGCCACTCCCGGAAGTGGTCGAAGTGGGCTGGCTCCTGGGAGGGAGGCAGAGGGAAGGTCAGCTTCACGGGGCTCCAATCACGCACCCTGCTTTTCACTTTCCCCAAGGGCGGTAGAAAAAAACCAGGGGCTTTTAAAATCCAGAAATGTAAAACTCCCAAATTGTGCTATTAGAAAACACCATCCACTCTGCCTTTCTGACCACAATGACTAGTTGTTAATGCAGGACTTACCTCTTAAATGCTGCACGTGTATTAATGTACATTTAAAAAGGCTCTGTGAAGCAGACCCTAGCCATAATAACTCTCTTATTTAGCTTTGGGGTTGGTGAGCCTGCCGCACACCCGACTCCTCACACCCAGGGACATGGAGTTGTCATCTTCAACAAGGATCCACAAATACTGAAGTATAGCTAAAATACTGAGCGTTGCTTTAGTACTCATATCCGATGGTCTTTGTTTTATACATTATTTATACTGCCATAGTGTTGTTTTGGTAATAAGTTTAAAATAAAATTACCCTGTAGTGAGCACTTCCTATCTACCAGGTACTCTTAAGACAAGGCAGTGGCTGGTAAACCAGGGACCCTTGGCCAACTTCAACCTACCCCTTGTTTGTGTCTGGCCTCCAGCTGAGAATGGTTTTTACATTTTTAAATAGTTGGGAGAAAAATCAAAAGAAGGATTATATCTTGTGATGCATGAAACTTACATAGAATTCAAATGACAGTATCTATGAAGTTGGTTGGGACATGGCTATACACAGTCTTCTATGTATTATTCATGGATGCTTTTGCACTGCAGTGCAGAATCTAGTATTTGGGATGGAGACAGTATGGCCCACAAAGCCATGCTATGCAAATCTGCAATTCTCACAAGCAAGCAGAGGCAAGGTAGATGGCACAGCTGGGAAACAGAAGTTCGAGCAGCCAGATCCCATTGCCTTGACAGCTATGATAAGGGGTCAAAAGAGCATTATCCTAACAGTAAGCCACTTACAACTCTTCCCCCTCCTTCCCCCCAGGAAAATTAGGCCAAACATTTACAAAACCAAGGTATTCTTATTTGGACAATTCAGATTTGTGTATGTTGTTAGTATTTTCTATCCTAACATTAATAACATTTCAGGGATGATTTTATTTCCAAAATCCCAAGGATAGCATTGAAATCATCATTATTATTAATAGTAATACTAAACTTAATTACTAATTATTAACTTTTCTTTGAACTATTACAACTGACATAAACCAAGACATTGATTTAAGGTAAATCATAAATGAAATATATGATGATGTATTATCATATATGATGATGTAACTAAGTTTGTCTTCAAAGCAAAAATCTTTGTTTTAAAAGTGGGCACTTCAACTTCAGGATCGTAGTAACAAATGTACAATTTTTCAGAAGAGGGAAAAGTGCTCCCCTTTCAGGCTGTCCACTAGCCCACCATGCCTTACATCGTCAGCTCCTGAGATAGAGCTACTGGAGATGAAGCCACAAAGATCGTTTTAACCAAACAAGAGTGGAGAATCCCAAGACTGGTTTCATTTGCTCTAGTGTATTGGCTGCGTGTGTCACACACAGACACACGGAGTGAAGGAGAGAGGAGGCAGTAATCGGGACAGGCCTCTGAGGTGGCTAACTTCAGCACTTGATGACAGGTCAGTAGCCCGAGACCTAGGGAAATTCAAGGACGCTCTCAAGGTCATGAGGTCAGTTTAGCTCTTCCGCTCAGCCTGAGCAGGGCTCAGTTTCCACAGGTCCTTTTCTACACCACTGACTGTTACACCCACTCCCTGAGTAAGAACCATTCTCTGGGGAAAAATAGTTCCCATTTACCAGGAAACCTAGCAGATGCTTGAGGGATGAGCCATTGTCACATCACTGGATGCGATTCTTCTCTAAAACGCGAGATTAGATTGTTTCCTATGAGGGTTTACAGGGCCAGAAAGCAGAATGAGCCACCCCACTCCCGCAAGAGCAGTGGGGTGCGACTCCAGAGTAGGCGGACTTTAACCTGCGGGTGATACAAACGCACAGCACGTGTGTATCCCAGAAAGGCGAGGCCACCCGCAATGCTAGCGATTCGTTGTCCTCTTGAGAACTCACCTGGCACGCAGCGGAAGCTGAACACCTGCCAGGTCTCTCCCTGTCCCCACTTTGCCGGAAGACCACCTTTACGAACGCACGGAAGCGACTCTCACTCCCCCACTACACCTGGGACTTTCGAGTCACCTTTTTGCTTTTTTTTTTTTTTTTTGAGGAATTGTTGGGTATGCCAATTTTTTTTTTTTTTTTGGTACCGGGGATCGAACTCAGGACCCTGCGCTTGCAAGGCAGATGACGGAACCACTGAGCCAAACTCCCGGCCCATAGCTTTCATTTTTAAAAAATATGACCAGGTATAACTGCCTACTTCATTTCCTGCACGTGGCACCCTTAAAACAGAACAACAAACGGGCTGGGGATTTAGCTCAGTGGTTCCGGCGCCTGCCTCGAAAGGGCATGGTCCCGAGTTCGATCCCCGGTACCAAAAAAACCAGAACAAGTTCGCCCGGAAAAAGGCGATGACTTCCTTGTCATTGGAGGCAAGCCGGAGCAGGTGGCTTCCCCGGCAGGACTGTGGAGCCCTCTCCATCCCGGGGTGGGGCCCGGAGCTCGGAGCTCGGTCCGGCGTCCGCGTCACCTCCGACCTGGGTCTCCTCCACTGACAGCCCCGCCCACAGCCTGCCCGTAGGAAACAGCACTATTTGCATTCGCTGAGGTTTCTCCCGGACTTTTTCCTGGATGTCAGCTAAGTAAGGAACAGAGAGACATTTGATTTCCTCTTTAACTAAGGGAAAGCGAACGGAGAGGCGTCCGGACCTCACTTGACTACAGGAAGGGGGAGCCTCGGGTTCGCTTCTCGCCGCCTCCCGGGTGTTTTCAGAAGCGCAAAGTCGCGGGGGGAGCCGACGCCCGAGCGCAGCCCGCAGAGCTCCGCGCGCGCGTCCGAGACCGGGGGAGCGTCTGCGCATCCGTGCTGCGGGCTCGGGTCTCTCACCCGGGGCATCTGCGGGTCGTTGATGTCCCAGCTGAGCGTCGTCCCGGGGGGACACCCGCGCCCCGCGTCCCTCGCGGCGTCTGCCGGCATCCGCGCAGCCTCGGTGGCGCCCTCTGCCGAGGATCCTGAAAGACAGAACCAGAGAATAAGGGGTGTGGAGGCGACCAGGGGTCTATTAGCCTCTCTATGAAGCAGTGAGAGGGGAGACAGAGAGGGAGGGCTCCGAAACCCGGAGGCTGCGGGCGCTGCAACCGCAGGCTCCGTCCTCCGCCGCCCGCCGCGCTTTAAGGAGCCGCGGTCCCCGCGCCCCGCCCACCCCCGGGCGCCCGAGCGGCGCGGGGGGAGGGGAGCCGAGCCCAGGAGCGCGCGGGACCCGACCCGAAGAGCGCGGGCGGACGCGCGAGGCTTCACTCAACCCGAATCCACCTCCGCCCCGGCCTTTGCAGGTGGGCCGGGGCTTCCAGTGCAGCGTCCAGGAGAGCGTGGGGACCGCGCGTGGGACCCCGCCTGCGCGCCCTCGTTAGGGCCGAGCCCAGCCCAGCCCGGCTCCGGCTGTCCCTGCTGTGCGCGTCCCCCAGGTCCACGGGCGTCCTGTGCTCGCGGGGCTCGGGCGCGCCCTCGGAGAGACCTGGCTCCCCCGGAAGTCCTGCAAAGTGGATCCGCGGGAGGGGAGGGGTAAGTCGAACCCGGGCTGTGAAGAGGACGGCGCCAGTGAGCCCTACCACCGGGAGATCAAAAATCGGAGTAGCCTGGCGTGGTGGCGCACGTAATTCCAGCACTGTGGGAGGCCGAGGCAGGAAGATGGCAAGGTTGAGCCCAGCCCGGGCAGTTTAGCAATTTAGCGAGAGACTCTATTTCAAAACCTGAAAGGGGGTTGTGGGCGTAGCTCGGTGCGAAGGCGGTGGGCGCAATCTGCAGTGCCAGAAAGAAAAAAGAAAATCGAGGACCCCGTGACTGTTTCTGACTCAGCTGTTCAATAAGGGACTGGGTGCTCGTTGGCCACCAGATGAGCATAAATCTTTGAAAAAATCCTTACTGTCGTGGAAACATCATGGGCAAATCCCATTTACCCCAGGCAGTTTTGGAACTGCAGAACCCTGGCGAGGACGCCGTGGGTGCCTCGGGTCTGGGGCGAAGCCGGCTCCGCCTGGGCCTCGGCCTCTCTTGGGGCGACCCAGGCCCCTGGGGGCGCCCAGGAAAAGAAGTCAACGGAAGAGCCACTGGAGTGGCTCTTTAGCCACCTGGGGCTCGGAGCCCAGCTTCGTTCGCGCTCCCGGCCGGCCGCTTAGCTTCCCCCGCCTGGGCACAGTGAGTAAGGCTTGCTTAGAAAAACAGCCCGGGCCTCAGACTTCTGCAGACAAAATCTGCGGGGAAACGTCAGTTGGGAGCAGCTCGCACGCATATTCTCTTCTGCTAGCTTTAGGCTGGGATCCTCCTCTTCAGTGAAGGAAAACAACAACAGCAACAACAACAACAAACCACCTTCACTGCGTACGATTTCACCCATAGGCTTTCATCTTACCAGTCGGGTGTGGAGATTCTGGCAGCTCCTGTCACTCAGTTGCGTTTTGTCATTTAAAATGAAAATACCCGTTTTAAGTAAATTGATACTTCGTTAAACGTGACAGCTTAAGACAGCCTATATGTTTAAACGTTTTACAAATAACTTAGAAAATAGCCATTCAACATTATCCCTAAGAAATCATAAAGTTATTTTCACGTTGTTAAGAGCAGTTCTTGCTTCTATGCTTTGATGCGCTCCTAGGGAGGCCTGACCCTTCAAAAATATAAACAAATGTAACTTTTTAAATGTTACAGTCAAAATAGAATACAAAAAAAAAATACAAATACAAAATACAAATACAGTCTGAATAGATTCTAGTGTCAAAAACTTCAGGGAGCCGCCACCATATTTAGTGTGTGAAGAATTAGAACATATATTCCAAGTTATCCTAAAATGACATCTGGGTAGAAAATGTTCGTAAAAGAAGCTAACCAAAATGAAAAGATACTAAGTAAATAAAGAGTATCATTGTCTGTTTTGTTGTTCTTAATATCTCCTGAAGATTCGAGTGCATTTCCACCAAAGTTTGGGAGGATGTTTCCCCTCCCCATCTGAAAATAATTGATTACAAAGTTTTCTAATACAACTTCAATTTTTATAGTCTTTAAAAGTGCATTTTGGCCGGGGATTTAGCTCAGTGGTTTCGCCGCCTGCTGCGCAAGCGCAAGGACCCGAGTTCGATCCCCGGTTCCAAAAAAAAAAGTACATTTAAACTGTATTTTGATTACGGCTTTTATTTTGTGTTAGTCCTTTTCTGCCCGAGTATTTGCATTGATTCCTATTCCTAATAGTTTTAATTCGCATCTGTCACTGCCTTGGTTGCTACTTTAATATTGTAAGAATCCATTCAAAAGGAAAGGAATAAACCTTTGGATTTTCTAGGTGTAGACTGAAAATAGGTAACTGAAGGAAGGCGCTGTATTTAGCCCGGAAATGGACCTCTACGGTGCTGACATAAACGTTGTTGTGAAGGAGGGAGGTGCCTACATCTCCAGGGTTTCCTAACAGAGATTCTGTTACAGTATTAACTTTATCTTCTGTAAATATCACAGCATGAAGCATGGCTCTGGTTATACTACAAGTCAAATTTTACACAACGTTTGGATTTGAGGGAGCATTTTGTTTACATTTAAAGAAAACTCTAGTCCCAATTTTTGTGTCGTGTCCATATAAGAGATCACTTATCCGCGAGAACGTAGCCATGAGCACAGGTAAATTAAGGGAAATGGGCAAAAAGCAAGCGAACGATTTGCGTTTTATTTCTTAAATCTCCCCTCTCTGGCCAAAGTACTTTAAAAAGCAAAGAAACAAAATTTCTTTTAGGGTATCGGGAACAGATTCGTAATTTCAGGTACAAGTCTAGCTGATCAACACGTTTGACGGATCAAAACCAGCTCCCTGGGTCTCTTTACGGGCAGAAAACCTCACCGCTTCTGCAAAGCGCACGCTTCTGGGTTTAATTAACGATGTTTCACTTTTTTGCTCTGAATTTCTCGATTTCTCGCAAAGTGCGCGCGCGCCCAGCGGGCCCGGCCCGGGACGCTGATGTCGGGCGCGCGTTTCTCGATCTCAAACACCGGGTTTCGGGAACAGGTTCCTTCAATTGGACTTCGCGGAGGAGATTTAAAGCCCTCAGCCAGCTGCGCCCGGGCCTCTCACCCCGGCTGGCCGGAGTCTCGGGCAGCGGACGGAGCGCAGCCCCGCGCCCTGGGATGCGGGCGGTGAGCGACCCGGGCCTCCGCGAGGGCACCGAGGGCTCGGGGTCCCAGGGTCCCGGGCTCGGGCGGGAGGCCGGGAGTGCGGGACCTATGGGCGCAGGGCATCCGGCCTTGGGAATCCTTTGAGCGCTGCAGCCTTCCCGTCGTCCTCGTAGTTTGGACCCTTTCAGTCAGGCGCCCACACAGCAGAAATCTGTCCTTACTGTGAAAGCGCCCGGGAAGGGGCGCCCGGGTGAGGAAAGCAAGGGAGACCTAGTTCCGCCCCGGCTGGCCTCCTTCCTCTTTGCAGCGCTCAAACTGCAGTGACCTAACCTCCCAGGGCCCAGGTCTGCATCCCCAAACTGCAAGAAGAGCAGCCCTGGCAGCGTGGGGGCCTCGGTACCTCCAGAGAGCCCATCTTTCAGTACTTAACTAGCATTCTGTGACTGTTCCACTGGTAAAGAGGGAAAAAAGTCTGGATTTTGGTCGTTGACTTTACCCTGTTTTTCCTATTTATAAATGAAGATGATTGTGTCAAGTATAGAGATTTAAGGGTTTTGGTTCAGTTCAGAGAGGCAGGATTGTTAGCCTAACCACACTTAGAAGAGATTTTAACAAATATTTTGTGTGTATTGCACTTTTCAATTGTTGGAATGAAAGCAGGAGATGGGATGATGGTACTTAACGTGGCATTGTGTGTTGGGAAACCCGGATGGTGACTCAGAAAGCTTTCTTGAAGAAAATGTGTAATAATTCATCATTAAATGTTCTGGACGCTGCTTTTGTTGTGTGGATGTTTAATCATCGAACTTCTATAAGTCCTAGAGTGATGTTTGAAATTTAAGTCACGAACTTAAAGCTTAGACTCATGGCTGAGCTGGAAAGATTCTTTTTATTTAACTGGTGAGTTCTCAATCTGAACGTGGTTTATTCATTTGTCTATTATAATCACCAGAGCTTAAATTTATTTAGGGTAATTGTTTATTCAAATGTTGTTGCTTTGCTTCTTATTATTGTGTTGTTATAGATAATGCTAAGAAAGGCTGGATAAAAGTCATGGATTTTTTTGTTTTTCTCACTTGTGATCAGTGGGGTGAGCAATCAAAATTTTCTCAGGAAAATCATATAAACTTTAATTTCATTTTTGGAGGGAGGTTAAAATGCATTTCTTTGAAATCCAGCTTTTTGAAGAATAATATTTTTATTGCATACAGAACAATGAAGATGTTTTGCAGTCTGTTAAGGAAGATGATGGACTCCGGAAGGCCCAAGATGCTTTCTGGGTAAAGATCATTTATTTTGTGTTCTCTGTGTCCCTCTGACTTCTGTGTTCTCAGCAGGTAAACAGACCATTGCTCCTTCAGCAGCAGAGAAATCATGTTTGTTCTTCCACAATCTCCTTCCCATATCAAATATATTCCTTGCTTATTCAATTTTACCTCCAACTATACTAAGATCCTAGACTAAACTATCTTGTGCCCAGCATTATTCCAGGTGGAAGTAGACAGTACTCAACACAACACGTAATTGCTGCACTCATGGAGCTTACAGGCTGCAGAGAGTCAGAGAAACAGGTAACCAAAGTGCTAAAGTAGGAAAGGACAGAATGTTGGAATGGAGAATAGTCGGCAGTGAAAGGAGGCGCCTGGCATACTTCTGCTAAGTGGTGCTGGCAGACTCACCCCGAAAGGTCACACGTAGCCCCCCATCTACTGGGAGCAGCAGTCTGGGCACACAGCTGCCAGTGCAAAGGCTCTGAGGCAGGACTCAGGACTCAGTTGGAAAGTCAAGCTGAAGAAGCTGGCAGAGACCATCTCATGCGGAGCCCTGCAGACTGAAGAAAGGGGTTTGGAGTTGTTCCAAGTGCAGGGGACGCCATGGGCTTCTGAGTTGGAGAACCTGCATGTGAACACCATGTGGTGATGTCACAGATGTTGGCATACTTTCCCGTCCTTGCTGTCCCCATGCCGGGGAAAGAGTCCCTTCTCAGGGTGGTGGTGAGGCAGAGTGGGGACATTTGCAGGACACGTCACACACTTGGCACGAAAGGCCCCGGCTCTGTGCTGACAAAATGATTCTAAGTGGAGTAACTTCAAATGCTGCTTCCTCACTTAAATCCATAGTAAGAATTTTGAGCTGTGTACAGTAGAATACTTTCCTGTCAAGACAGTATTATATATTGTAATTTAGCCCTTAGGATTGGACTAGATTTATAAAAATTCATATTTATCATATAGATATTTAAGAAATGTCAATCTAGTAAAATATTTTAAAGTTTATCTTGTCTAATGTTCAGGCAGAAAAGATCAGTTTTTTCATTATGGTCAATTTGCATATTTATCAACTTTTATTGTGTGCAATTATTAGTTTTCTTCTTCCTTCTGTTATCATTTATGTCAGTGAGCACTTATAGGCTTGAATTCTCTTTGCGTTTTAGAATTTGCAAGATTGCGGAGTGTCTTTGTCTGTTGACACCTAGTAAAGGGCAGTTCTCCTTAAGAAGGTGGTTCCCAAACCGAAGCTGGCATCAGGACAACCCGACCTGCAGGGCCCCGCCAGACCCCAGGAGAAGCCAGTGATCTGGGAACCACATTCTGAGAACGGCTTGAAGCCAGCAGAAACCTCAGTCACTTAAGAGATTGTTGACAGACAGCTCTGCTGCATGTTTACCCTACGTTAGTTCGCACTGGGTCATTCTTGATAATCATACTAGCTAGCAATATTTTAAAAGAAGTATTCTTGGGGGAAAGGGAGTAATTCACAAACCCATTACTTTTCCAGCTTCAGTCACTGATTACTGATGCCTTCCATGGTAAAGGATTTCAGGAAATACAAGCGTATCTTCAACAGAAAGAAAGCCACCTTCCTCAAAAATATGATCATCTCCTATTACACCATCTTGACGGATCAGTAAATAAGGCAAGTGAGTTGTTTTTTTTTGAGGATTAAAAGGGGACTAAAAAGCAATGTAAAATTATTTGTAAGAGTTAATTTAGTGTGGTCTAATATCTAGGAACTGGATAAAAATGAATTTCGGCATGTTTCACTGTTGTTGAAATGTGTTCAGCGATTCTTCAAAGATGATCTCAGAAAAGATGAGACCTTGTTAATTCAGCAGGGACTGATCCCGAAGATAAGTGTCACACTTTAATTTTATGACTTTTGGGTAACCGAATGTGAGGCACCGGGGTGTGGCTAGGTGGCAGAGCACTTGCCTAACATACTCCAGGCTCTGGAGTGGATCCCCAGGACTTCAAAAACAGACAAAACTAGTGTGAACTCAGTCAATTTGAAAAGAAATTTTATCTATTCTTATTGCTTCTCTCCAATTAGAAATTAAATCAAATGCATGTTTCCTATGTGTGGGCTGGGTAAACACCTTGAGAATGCAGAATCGAGGTGGGGACAACTCATCTCCTGGACAAGCAGTAGCGTGCTTTAAATTATCTTAGCAAATTTGACTGGGAAAGATAGGATAAATAAGGAGCAGCCCCCCCCATTATTTTAATAGACTATATCAACAAGATTAAACCTAGAAAAAAGTCATTAAAAACTTTTGCCTTTGTAACACTATACTATTCTCACTTTCTAAATGCTGGGTAAATGTGAAAAAAAATTGTGTTAGTCATTCTATAAATTATTTTTGCTTTTTAAAATTAACCATGAAGTAACACTACAAGTATCTTTATTAATGGCATCTGGAAGCACGCAGCCTTTGCAAAATCTCTTGCTTTGTGAACTCCATGGTGAGGTTTTTCAAACCCTGAGATGGTGCTTGCTGGTGAGGAAGGGAGGCTGGGTGTGGAAGGGTGACCTGGCTAATGATAAAGTCCTTGCTTTACTCACTTGGGTCCAGTCTCTGAAGTTTATCAAGACCGATTTGGGCCAAGGAGATCTTGATGGATCCCTCCATGTTGCTCATAAACCTCTACTAATTATAGGTCTGACACTTTAGGAGAAAAAGAAGAAATTCCAGGCTTTCTCAAACTCAACTTTAGGACTTTAAAAGTATTTGCAGGGGATCCTAAAGATTGTGCTTTCATTTTTGCAGTTAATTCCATTTAACTCCTTGATACACTCACAACTCATGCACGTGACAGGAAACAGCAAGAGGAAATGAACTCCATAGACTTTGAACTGGAGCAAGGGAAACTGAGGGGACTTTGGAATTTAAGCTGATTGCGGGAGGGTTATGAGTTGGACTATGCCCCAGCCCAATTTTCCTACTTAGGCCTAAGAGTGCTTTCTCAAGATCTGAAAAGGTGGCACATCAAATCTCTAAGGGATTTTGAAATAAAAAAGGCGTTTCCATATTACAACCCAATTCTTGGTGGTGGTGGGAATCACATAACCATCATTAGGCATCTTCTACAACATACTGTTATTTCATGTCGCTTTGGGGCAAGGAGAACAGAATAATATTATCAAGGTGACAAGATACTGGGTTATGCACTTTGCATAGCCAGTTGTTGACAGGCTCAACTCAGATGTGTGATTGGAAATTATTTTCCGAAGAAAAAGAATTTTGCACGGAAAGGAACAAATTTAGTTTTGTAATGTAAGACCTGGAAGGATCAAGCAACTTGTCTCCACCATATTATTAATGTGGCATAGCTATCTTCTGGTAATGACCTGAGGAAGGGACAGCAGGGGTGGGTGCCCATTGGAAGATGCGTGATTGTGGCACAGAAGTGAGCTCAGTGCATGCTTTCTGTTCTCAGATATTAATCAACCACCATGGCGTTTCCCCCACTCGTCCACATCTATCCTCCACCAATGTGTGTGGATGTGGGGTGTGGGGGGAGACAGGCTTGGAGGTGGCAGTGGAATGGTGACAGTGTATTTAAAAGTGTAACATGGGCTGGGGATTTAGCTCAGTGGTTTCGCCGCCTGCTGCACGATCGCAAGGACCCAAGTTCGATCCCCGGTACCAAAAAAAAAAAAAAAAAGTGTAACAATTTGAGTGTGAGTATAAGAAAAAGAATATATAGTGGACCCTTGACTTACGAACTCAATTTGTTTGCTAGGGCTGGTTGTAACTCAAGTTGGTCAATTGAGAGCTCAGGCTCCTCTACACAGCCTTTAAAGTCTCTCTCCTGTACACAGGCAGATCTCAGGGTCCTTAGAGAGACACCGGCCCAGGATTTCTCAGTCAACCCCACACAGGAAAGGATGTTGTCATGTTCCTGCCAGAACACTTTAAGGGTTAAATCTGTATCTGAGGCCATCTGGAAGCACAGGCAGCTATCATTCGGGTCATAACTCAAGACTTTGGTCTTAAGTTAAAACTAAAATTCCAGTTGTAACTCAAGTTGTTTGTTCGTCAGGCCGACTGTAACTTGAAGGTCTTTTGTAGCTTAGGCCATGAGTTCCATAGAAAGAGATATTTCTTTTTTTTCTGAAGAAAAGTTTGCTTCAGAAGGTGAATGAGTTAATGCCGTGTTGGTCATCTGATCTGAGATAACGGCAACTGTGAACACAGTGGCATCTCTGAGACCTTACCATGCATGACAGGCACCTGGGAGCTCTAACAAACACTGCCCGGGACCCAGCACCAGGGAGTTTGATTGGCAGGTTTTCCTAGTCCCCAGGTTTTCCTGGTGTGCAGCTGAGGCTGAGAACTTGACTGTTTGGGTTCTTTAGTGGGGGAGTTGGGGGTCCTTGGTTCCCATGTCCCCTAAGTTTTGAAGGTCATACACCTACCAGAGTTGTTCACTGAACGGTCATGTCGCTGACCAGTTGAATAGATGACTTCTCACTGTGCATGTAGAATTTTTCTCTCTTTAAAATGTATATACATGTTTTGGGCAGGAGGCAGTCCCAAGGCGTACTTTCTGTAACCATGACCACCTCAGGAACCCTTCCCGAATTGTGCATGTCCTTTGATATTTGTGTTCTACAGCTCTTCAGATCTCCATGATTTTCCCCCTGTAATGGGGTCATTTATCTTTTAAACTTTCCCCACTAGAGTCAGATGTGGCAGCACACACCTGAGCTCTCAACACCTGTAAAACCAGGCTGAGGCAGAGAAGTTCAAGTGAAAGCCCAGCCTGGGAAACAGTGAGACTCTGTCTCATAATAAAAGATAAAATTAAAAAACAAAAGCCTGGGCATGTAATTCAGTGTGAAGGCCCAGGGTTCAGTCCCCAGTTCTGCACAACAAAACCAAAAAACTTCCCTCATAGCTTCTTCATGAGGCTTTCTGGGACCCAGCCTGTCTAAACCTCTTTCTGGCTGGTAGCTGAGAACTGAGGGCAGTTCTGGAGCGTAGACTCCATTCTGACATGTTTTCTGGTTAAGAGGCCTTAGAGCCAGGCCTAACTGAAATATTATGGAGAGGGAAAAAGGCCTTCAGGATTATTTTCTCTAGTGAGAAATTGTCCCATAAAAGTTTATAGAACAGGAAGTAGTTCTTCAGTCCCATGTGATTCTACCAGTGTTTCTTCTCCTGTGTACATGGCTTCCTGGTTTGAAAGGACGACAGGATTTCTGGGCACTGAAGCCCTAGCCTCGAGCACAGTGCTGAAGCCCGTCATAGAGGACTTCTTCGACACCGCGCTGGTAAGGGTGGCCTGGTGCTCCATGGAGCAGCTGCTGCGGGCAGTGGGCAGGAACCTTCCAGTGATTTGTAAGACTGGAGTTTTTGTTAAGATGTGAGTTTGGGGGCTGGGGATTTAGCTCAGTGGTTCCGCCGCCTGCCTTGCAAGCGCAAGGACCCGAGTTCGATCCCTGGTACCAAAAAAAAAAAGATGTGAGTTTTGTTAAAAGACTCCCATGGGTTATGATAAGATTGTGTGAAATAATAAGCATAAAATATATAACCAATGTGATAGAAAAATGAGGGGTAATTTATTTTTATACAAATACACATTACTATTCACTTGATGGTGCTATGTTCTTTTTAATGAGATTGAAACTCAGGCAGGCTTTCTCTGATTCTTCTGGATTTAAAGATTTAAACACTTGGCTACTAGAGAATATGGGTGTTCATGCGTTAATGACATAGCTTATCATGCTGTTTTAAAATAATATGATTTGTACCTTTTCTTTTTATTAGATTATTTCCAGAAGTAGTCCTAAAGGTAAGTACCGACTATTACCTTTTAATAGAATATTTTGGTGTGAAGCAAAGAATATTTAAATGATACTTAAGAGTAAACGAGCTTACACATTTAGATTTACTGAACACTTTATGGTATGTGATCTTGAATTGCATTTTTTTTTTTGGTGCCTGGGATCGAACTCAGGACCTTGTGCTTGAGAGGCAGGCAGCAGAACCACTGAGCTAAATCACTGGTCCTTGAATTGCATTTTATTGAAAAGAATTGCTCAGGTTGTCAAGATGCCTGTGTACTTGACTCTGGCATCGTTTGGCTTCTGTCCTCTGTTTAGGTAGTGGAAAGGTGTTTTTGTCACTCTGAACGAGCAGAAGTCTAGGGGTCCGTTTTAGATATGGTTTGTCCCACAAAGGTTCTTGTACCGCATGCTTGGTCCCCAGGGCAGCTGTGTGAGAGGGGGTGGACCTTGGAGGCAGGGCCTAGTGCAGAGTGATTAGGCGACATGAAGGGATCAATGCCAGGTGTCCAGAGACTGGACTGGTCCCCTCGAGGGTGGGCTGCTCTGAATGTGTCTCCCTCGCTTCCTGTCTAGCCATGTGAGCTCTCCTGCAGTGCGGCCAGCATAGTGATGCCATCGGCCACCAGGCCTCTCCAGAGCCCGGCAGAGGATAGTCTCATGTCACCCCCTCCTTTTTCAATCCATGCTAGTTATAGGGTCGCAGGCTTCATTGTGGCATATTCATATTTGTACGTGCATAGAACACACTATTTTCATCCCCATTGCCTCCTTTTCCTTTCTTCCTCCCTCCTCCTGACTCTTTTCCTCTTTTCTAGTGTCTCTTCTACTTTTTTGCCATCTTTTAAAAATTTTAAGGTTACAGTTTTTGACCATTTAGTATGATATTGGCTGTTGGTTTTTCATAGATGGCTTTTATCAGATTGAGGTAGAGACCATCTATTCCAATTTTTTGTAGGGTTTTTATCATAAATGCATGTGGGATTTTGTTGAATGCTTTTTCTGCATCTGTTGAGATGATCGTATGGTTTTTGTCCTTGGCTCTATTGATATAGTGTATTACATTGATTTGCATATGTTGAACCATCCCTGCATCCCTAGGATGAATCCCACTTGATCAGGGTGTATGATCTTCTTGATGATCTTCTGCATTCTATTTGCTAGTATCTTATTAAGGAATTTTGCATCTATGTTCATTAGTGAGATTGGCCTATAGTCCTCTTTTTTGGTTGGGTCTTTTTCTGCTTTGGGGATCAAGATGATGATGAGACAAAATATACACAATAATGAGTCCAGCTTATTTTGCTTAAATGTCTTCAGTTCTGTCCATTTTCCTGTAAATGATATGATTTTGGTCTTCATTATGGCTGAATAATATTCCATTGTGTATATGTCACAGTTTTTGGTTTTTATTAGTGCATGTTAATAATATAGAATATAGCCAGGGATTTAGCTCAGTGGTTCTGCTGCTTGCCTCGCAAGTGCAGGGACCCAAGTTCAGTCCCTGGTACCAAAAAAAAAATAATAATAAAATAAAATAAAAATATATATATATATATATATGTAATACTGAGCATGAATGCCTTTGTCTTGTTCCTAATATTAGAGGAAATGCTTTCAATTTTCTCCATTCAGTATGATGTTGGCTATTGAGTTTGTCTTGTGTAGCTTTTATTGTATTGATGTAAGATCCTTCTATACTTATTTTTGTCATGAACTGATACTAAATTTCATCAAAGGCTTTTTCTGCCACTATTGAGGTGATCATGTGATTTCTTTTTAGGCTTGATTCTGTTTATGTGGTGTGTACATTTACTGATTTAAGTATATTGAACTGTTTTTGCATCTGTGAAATGAAACCAACTTGGTCATGGTTTATAATCTTTTAAATGTTTTGTTGCATTCTGTTTGTAAGAATTTTGAGGATATTTGTATATATGTTCATCAGAAATATTAGCCTGTAGTTTTCTTTCTTTGTGGAATCTATATTGAATTTTGGTTATCAGGGTCATACTGGCCTTGTAGAATGAATTTAGAAACATGTCCTTTTTCTATTTTATGGAATAGTTTGAAGAGCATTAGTGTTCTTATTTCAAAGTCTGATAAAATTCACCATTAAATCTGTCCAATCTTAAGCTTTTCTTTATTGGGAGACATTTAAATTTCTCCAATATCATTGCTTGTTGTTCAGGTTTCATTTTTTATATCTCTTGGTTCAATAGTTGGTTAAGTTGTATGCATCTAGAAATTTATTCATTTCTAGATTTTCTAATTTATTGGAATGTTTTCAAAATAGTTCTAATAATTCTCTGGATTTCAGTGTTATATGTTGTAACATCACCGTTTTCATCTCTAATTTTATTAATATGGGCCCTCTTGATTAGTTTGTGTAAGGGTTTATCGATCTTTTCAAAGAAACAGTTCTTTGATTCATTGATCCTTTGTATTGTTTTAGATGCTATTTCATTTATTTTTGCTCTGGTTATTTTCTTTTATTGGTTTTGGGTTTTGTTTTGGTTTTTTGAAACTTGAGATGCATCATTAGGGTTATGTATTTGAGATCTCTTGGATTTTTAAATGTAGGCCCTTTATAGTTATAAAATTGCCTCTTGGGAATGCCTTCATAGATTCTGGTATGTTGTATTCCCATTATCATTTGTTTCTAGAAATTTTTACATTCCCCCTGGTTTCTTCAATAACTCATTAATTATTAAAAAGTTTATTATTCAATCTCCATATGTTTGTGTTTCTTTTGTTGATATCTAGTTTCTAGTACGGGGAGGTTCTTTTCTGGTCAGTCCTTTTTATGATTCTAAATGCCTGCGGCCCCTGGATGTCCACATCATCTCATGAGTCAGGAAATTTTCCATTTCACTGAGTAAATTTTCTGTCCCTTTAGTCTGTATCTCATGCCCCTCCTATATTCCAAAACTCTTAAATTTGGTTTTTAAATCCTATCCCTGTGGTCATGCATATTTTTGTAATTTCTTATTTATTGCTGTATGAATTTAACATTTTGTCTACTTTATCTTCAAGACTTAAGATTGTGTCTTCTGCTTGATCAAACTTCCCAATTATACTTTCCACTGGATTTTTTTATTTGTTTTATTGAGCTTTTCATTTTCAATATTTTTTTTCAGAATCTCCATTTCTTTATTAAAATGGTTTTTGTTTTTGTTTTTTGGTGTTTTTTTTTGGTACTGGGGATCAAACTTGGGACCTTGTGCTTGCAAGGCAGGCGCCGGAACCACTGAGATAAATCCCCAGCCCCAATTAAAACGTTTTAATCATGAATTATCTTATTTCATTCAGCTGTTCGTATCTGCTTTGAGTTTGTTGATCATTTTTATAATCATTCTTTTGCATCCTGTGGCATTTCTTCCACTTTGGTATCATTGGGATCAGTTACTGTGGAGGTATTACTTTTTGAAAGAAAGTCATTGCCTTATGTTTCATATTGACTTCTCTATTGAGATGTGTTCATCTGTTCAGATGGTATTCTTTTACCTTTTTATGTATGGGTCTTTTTCAGGGGGCAGATTTCTCTGCTTCATGTGCCCTGGGCTGTCTGTTGTGTAGTGTTGAATTGAATTTTAAGTGGACTTCAGTGTGTGTTTTCTCTCTAGCTTGTCTGTTGTTAGTGAGACTTGTCCTCGAATATACCAAGTCAGAGATGGAGTCACTTTCTCCGTAAATCTTGGAAGTGTGAGATCTGTTTGGTCATCGAGTCAGGCATGCTTTAACCAGCAGGGTGTGTGAAAGTGGACCCTCTCTGTTGTCCTTCTCTAATTTTGTCAAATCAGTGTAGTCTGAATGGAGTCCTTCATATGTTTAATGCCTGCTGAGTGTTTCTTCTGGTGGTAAATTTTAGAATCAAGACTTCACTAAATGTGAGTATACAGGTATCTCTTTTGTACCTTGACTTTGTTTCCTTCAGATGTGTGTGCATGCGTGCACACACACACAGTGTGATACCTGGATCATACATAGTTCTGTTTTTAGGAATGTCCATACTGCTTTTGGTAGTAGCTGTACTAATTTACATCCCCATCGACAGTATATAAGGGTTCCTTTTTCTCCATATCCTCACCAGCATTTATTTTTATTTTTATAGTGGCCATTTTGAATGGGATAAGATGACATCTCAATGTAATTTTTTTCTTTTTTGGTACTGGGGATTGAACTCAGGACCTTGTGCTTGCCAGGCAGGTGCTGTGCCACTGAGCTAAAGCCCCAGTCCTCAATGTAGTTTTGATTTGTATTTCCCTGATGACTAAAAATATTAGGTAGTTTTTTTTATATTTATTGACCATTTGTACTTCTTTTGAGGAGTGTCTATTCGGGCCATTGGTCCATTTTTATTGGATTGATTTCCTTTTCCAAAAGAAACTGTTCTTTGCGTTTGAAGCAAAATCATGAGTTTAAGCCAGTGAAGATTCACCACTGGAATCAGTCCCGTGCAAATAGCATGACTGCTCCCCAACAGGAGCAGGAAAAGGACATGTGAGGACCACCAGGAGGTCTGTCACAGCTACTCTTTTCCTCTTTGTATTGCATCCGGTTTTCCCAGAGGTTCTTGAGCTTTTTTTTGGAAGGCAATACTTTAATTCTTTTCTCTTGCAGACTTCAATCCTAGGATTGAAACCCGTAGGTGGTGATGACCTGCATCTGCTCTCAGGTCCCCTTCTTGCTCTCTGCCTCTGCTTGATATTGCAGAGTCCTATTTTTCTTAGGCGCTCTTGTCAACTGGCAGCCTGTTAGGTTTAGTCAACAAAAGCATTGGTGAGAAATTGGAGGTAGGAGGGAGCAAATAGGACATCTCTCCCTTTCCCTCCACTGCGATGACATTTCCAGTTTCCAGGCGTACCCGCCATTCTCTGTGGCTCTGCCCATTTGTTTTTGTTTCTTTGTTTTGTTTTTTGACGTAGGGTCTCGCTATGCAGTTCAGGCTGTGATTGAGTTCACCAGGTAACCCAAGCCGGTCTCAAACTCACAGCAATCCTCCTACCTCAGCCTCTGGACTGCTGGGGTCACAGGCTTGTGCCACCACACCTGGTTTGCCCATTTGTGATTATGGCTTTTCCTAGGAGGCCTTGATTCCGTGGATCTGGCAATACCTCTTCCTTCTTTGACACTCTGACCCCAGAAAGTAGGGAAAGGACTAAGGTGGCTTCTAGTTGATATTCATCCCTGGGCTGCCTCATTTTTCCCAGTTTGGCTTCCCAGATGTTCCTTGCCTTTGTAACTAATCCTCTGTGTTCCAGTCCATCACACTGAAATATCTACAATGGCTTTAGCTTTTATTTACGTAGTCCTTTCTCTTCTGTGCCTATCTTCATCTTAGACCATTGCCTTTTCTGGCACAAGTACTTTTTCATATACTTCATGTATTTTATTTTATTTTTTGTTGTTGTTGTTTTTGTTTTTGGTACCGGGGATCAAACTCGGGACCTTGTGCTTGTGAGGCAGGCGGCAGCACCACTGAGCTAAATATCCGACCCCTACTTCATGTATTTTAGAATTTGAGATGAAGCAGATGCTTCTTCAACTTTAAAGCTTCTTGAGTAAACAATTTTCAAAATTTACTTTTCCGCGATGTCTTGATTAAGCAGGTTCCTCTGCCCTCTTTCATGGGGCCATATGCTGTTAGTTTCTCCTGCTACTCTTAAAATAAGGACATGGAATGGTACATGCTGGTTAACAGGATGCACATACATCCGGAGTCTTGTGCTGTCCAACTGCATTGTTTATTATTATTAGTAGTAGTAGTAGTAGTAGTATTTTTGGTGGCAACAGACTCTAGCCAAATTTCTGGTTTCCGGAGATTATCTAACCCTGTTAAGGTGGCTTGTGTCAATTAAAAAGAGGGGTCTTTTACATTTTCACTTCTTGGTTTGGGTTCTTGCAATTTTATGAGTTACATGAAGATTAGAAAATACAAAGTTTGTTGTAGTTTGTGTACTAAAATTATGTATTTGGACGTATCAAAGTTACATTATGACCTTATGAGTTTTTGCAGTGTATACTACTACTGTTGTCATTTCGTATCTTAACATATTCATATGAAATAATAAAAAATAGTTTAATAAAATAAATACATGGCCCACTTTTCTGTTTATTGACATATAAATAGCTGTTGAAATTGCTGCAATTGCATTACTAAAGGGTAATATTTTACTTCCTGCTTTGTTAGTGCACAACCTTCTACACACAATTTTTATTTTTATAAAATACACGTGTAGAAAGCACATAGAAACAGGAGGAGCTGTGCTTGGCACGTTGCTCAGTCTGGGCAGAAAAGTAGCTTTGCCTGAAGATGTCACAATGAGTAGGCACCCTTCGTATACAGTGCTGCATTTCCCCTCAGTGAGAATCTGTGTAGCACAGTCTGTTGTGGTCCGGGGGTTTGCATAACTTGCAGCAGGCTGTAATGTGTCCCTTGCCCAAACTATGTTGTTCTGAATGCGGACTGCTTCCATGGCTTGTAGTCTGGGCATCTTCCTGCAGTTTAGAGGTCATTTCCTTCCTCTTTGGGGCATACATCTGATCTTCTAAAATTATGTTTTCAGGAAAAATTCAGATGCTGGATTCCTTCATCCTTATCTTAGGCTTCCTGGTGACAGAAAAGACTGTAAATCACTTGATTCAACAGGAGGTGAGTTACAAATAACAAGACAGGTACCAGTTGCTCAGGAACCCTCTGAGAAAGCCGTGCATAGGCCTCTGTTTTGTTTTTTCCCTGTGAATGCCTTCTCCAATTCCAAAAAGGCTCTGAGGACTTTGAACAGCATTTTGCAAGGCATACCTCGGGAAGAGAGGAGAAGGCTCCCTTCAGCAGAAGGCGCATGTCATCTTATGTAAGTGACCTTGCACTCAATTATGGGATGCTGTAAGGGCAAAATCTCTGAGGATTGTACTACTCTGTTCTCCTTAGACCTGAATCTTAGAGCCCTCTTCTGTAGTTGCTTTGAGTACCTACTTAGGAGGGCTCAGGCACTGAACCAGGCAGCAAACAAGGTCTTGAGACACAATGTAGACTTTGCTAGGCTCTTCAGTAGTTCAGGGTGGGTTTCTTTTGTTTTGTTTTCACATTAAATTTGTGAGACAAAACCCCTTCCTTAGGTGACAAATTATTTTTTTCACCGTGGATGTGGACCACATTCGTGGCTCATGGAATGTCAGAAGTGCAGACTCTCGAGCTGGGCTGCTTGGCTTCAAGTCCTGGTTTTGCCACTAACAGTAGCCCGTGAGCACAGCCTTAACCTCAGGGTGAGCTGGTTTGCCCGCCTGTGAAACGGAGTGAACTATACTGCCTACTTGTCAGAATTACTGTCAGGGTGAAATCAGGCAATCCATTTAGAGTGAGTAGCCCATTACCTGACAGACAGTAAATGCTGTAAGGTTACCAATTCTTAGATGAAGCAATAGAGCATGAAATTTGCATTGCTTTTCAAGTGCTGGATTTTTGGGGGTTTTTGGTGGCCCAAATGAAGTCTCATAGTGTTGGGGGGCATGAAATCTGGTGGTAAGTTTGTAATATGTAGCCAAGCAAAGAGCATAACCAACACCCTATTTTTTTTTTTACCTTTTTTTTTTTAACCACCACCCTATTTTGACATTTGAACCTAAACATGTAACCTCACTAACCGTCATTGTGTGACATCCAGACACAGCCTGGGAGAGTTTACCACAGCCTAGAGCCTAAAAGAGGTGCTCAGTGAGCATGGAGCTCATTGCCATCCTGTTTCTCCATTTAACTTGACTTTGCAGGATGCAGTTTTTCCAATGAATTAAAAAAAGTATTGAATACATTATTGAAATCATTACTCTTGTGTATTTAGATTTGGAGAGTGGCTGACCTGATATTTTCTCACTAGTCCTATGGTCATATTACTTGTTTCCAGAAAAGTCTAGAATGTTCTGGACCTCAAGCCAAAGGTTAACAATCAGCAAGCATAAAATTATGCAAAAACCTCCCCGGTACTGTTTTAAGGCTTGTATTTAATAATAACATATCTTAGATCTATTCTTTAAAATGGGAGATTTTCAGGCTTTAAAGACTGACATCCTACCAGTAAGCGTTTATTTGAAATCCTGAAATGAATATATAATGTAATAGCTTAATCCCATTCTACCTGATATGACATTTAAGATCGATCAGTTTAATATCAAACAGCTCTTAGGAAAGATGGTCACAAGATGATCTCATTTCTGCCAGGTGTCAAACTGTGAAAAAGGACACCCATCTTCATAGGCTGATGAGATGACTGCTTACAAAACCCCAGAATTGTACCATTACATGAATCCCCATAAATCAAGTTAAATGCACTTTATGGAAGGTTAAATACAATGTGAAAATGTATAATTGCTCTAGCTAGTATACATTATATTTAAGAAATTACAAATATAGTAGATCACATATCAACTCAAAGATTTTTTCCATAAAATGTATTATGGACAATGTAGAAATTTCAGTGCTGAATATGAAATAATTTCAAAGTACATATCTTGGTTTTAAAATTTAATGGCAGTTTAATAAAGTTTTACCTTTTGATGCCCATTTCAGTAAAATAGAACTTATCTTAATGTTTCAGGAAAGACCTTGCAAGGACAATCTTGACTGTGGGTGGTAAGAAGTACTTGGAATTTAAATACTTAGAATATTAAATATTATCACTGGGTTTTATGAGCATCTTGGAACTTTGGGGAATGAATTATGGTCAAATGAAAGGTATAGGAATTAAGGTTTTATCTTTATAGCATGCTGAAAATTATAATGAATATTGGATGCTCATTTACTCACCAGCCAATTTTGTCAAATTTTAGAATTTTTACCATATTTGCTTAAAATGAATACTTTTTAAAAATGTCTATTTCTTTTTCTTTTTTTTCTGTTAAGTTTATTGGAACATTTTAGGTATACAGTACAGTTACATTCATCATTGGGATCTTGTACCTTTACATGAGTATCTTGGTTCTTATTTTTCCCCCTTTCCCTGCCCTCCCTTCACCCCCTCCACCCTCCCTATTTGCAAAGACTTTGTTTCCATTTTTTTCCTTTTCTCATATTTTTTCTTTTCCCTTCAAATGAAATACTTTTAAATAAATCAGCTACAAATGAGGTTCATGCCCCCAATTCCGTTCCCCTCCCTTTGATTTGTATTTTTCATTCCCGAACATACTTTAAACTTGTTCTCTATGTATTCATAAACAATATTCATTATTGTTTTTGCAGATTTTAAGGACATTAGGTATATAGTAAAATTAAAACATATAGTAAATGTTTAAACTTAAAAAAATCATTACAGTAAGACACATTGCCATTCCCCCCACCCCCCCTCCACACACACACACCTACTTAGCCTTGCTTTGAACACGCTTACACCATCCATCTTGTCACTTTCGGAAGCCGATCTAGAAGTCCTCTTTCGTGAGTGTCTGTGCTCTTGCGGGTGCCTGGATGCCCTGAATGGATTCAAAACATCTGCAGCCATTTCTGTCAACTAAAAACATGATGGGTGGTCTCATCTACTTTATTCACCAGACCTGGCACTGTATTACTTCTGGATCTTCCCTATAGTCAAAATGACCACACAGGGTTACCATTTTGAATCCATTAGGGACATGAAAGGCAGGTATGATGATGAAACTAAAGACACTCACCAAAGAGAACTTGTAGAACTGCTTCAGAAAGTGGCAGGATGATGGAATGAGTGTGTTCAAATGTATGAGAGGATTAGTGGCAATGTGTGTCTTTTACTGTAATTCTTGAATTTAAATATTCACCATATATTTTTTATCACACTTCATAAATGCCATCAAGTTGGGTATATCCAGTTACAACTCCCTTTTTACCCTTAAAATTAATTGATATTTGAATATATTGATATATGTAGTTTTAATTTATCTGCTGTGAAATAGCACAAGGTATGCTGGAAATTTGCTTTTGTGGTAGAAATATTTTTAAGGCTGTTTGATCCAATTTGATTAATATTTAATAAGCATAAAACATAAACAGAAATATGTATTTTGAAAAGTTGTTATATGCTGACTTATTTAGATTTTTCTAACAATTCTTAAAAATACTTTTATTATAGGTGCTTCAGGATACATCTTGCTGCTTATAAGTTACAGTGTTGATCTATTTCTTAGAGCAGGTGCTAGCTTTGTAACATGGTTTTCTGTTGCACGGTGCCCAGAATTATCTATGTCCACTGTATTTTTAATGTCTAGATTATGACCAGCAGGTTGCTCTTTCTGAGGCATTGTGTAGAATGACGAGTAGAACATCAAGGAACGACCTTGTCCACCAGTGGTTTGATGATGATGTCCTTGCTGAAGGCTTCAAGAAAATTAAGGATCGAGAATTTGAGACGGTGAGAGTCCTGTGCAGTCAGTATTTATGAAGCAGCTTCTCAGTATTTTCCTGTGTGTTAGGCTTAATGGAGGATTTTCTTTTCTTTTTTTTTCTTTTTTGTATTAAATTCTTTTATTGGTACATTGTAGGGATACAACACAATTACATTTCTCATTGGGAATTGTACCTTTACATAATGCATCTTGGTT